ATTAAACGTTAAACAATTATTTTCAAACTAGGCCTAGACATTAAATAGGTCTTAGCTGAAAGAGATTTTAAAGAAATAAATCCGTTTCCGATAATGACAGGAAATAAATCTTGGTTGACCGAGCATATCAAAAATAATTTTCTCACGAGGTAATAATGTTAGCATTGACGGCCTTCGCTGCAAGAACAAGGACATATCTTTTTCCGCTTTAGTACTGATGTAACTCTGGCACCATTTTACAATTGAGCTTATCGTGAACGGTCGTTCTCTAGAATACAAGCACTGAATACCATCTTGTTTTAACACTATTGAACATACGAAGCGGATTCCTTTGAGACTTACCTCTTATCAGCACCCATTTTCTTAACGGACTCTTCTCTCCTGCAAAATCTACAGGAAAGAAAGAATCTGAAGTTTACTCATTGTTCCCTTCCCACAATCTGTCTACATATTTTATTTAATTTAAAACACATTCAGTCACATACGCATTTGTTTCCAAATGAACCCAAGGAAACCATGTTAAAACGTAACATGGAGCCCGAATATTTGTGGGGAAAGGACAAAAAACAACGACGTCACCCAGTACAAAAAACCGCTCTATTTTCAACCCAAGCAATAAAACAACTCACCGACGTGTATTTCTTTACAACGACGCTCTTTTAATAATTACTTTATAGCAGAAACATTCAAAAAATTACAAGAAACAAAACTCATTTCACGTCGAAAGGCTGCTGACGACACCGACGACGATGGAACCTTCTTTATCCCAAGATGCACTGGGGCAGCGTCTACAGTAGAGGGGTTTATAATTCCCTGGTAAAGTCTCGCAGGCATCACTATAATCAGAATATCAGTTTTAAAACTGCCATAGTTTTGTGACTTACATTGAGTCGGGATTTAATTCGAAACGCGATTTTAGATAGCGTTAAAACCCGGTCTTACCTGTTTCTTTCTGAGACAAGCGACTTTGAGCTTAAATGGGTTGCGCTTTGGATTTTGCCTGCAAGTCAAAACTATGGAAATAGTATGTGTTAACACGGCGCCATTTTACGAGAGCCTACCTATTATGTAATATTCACAAAAGAATGTTTGTGACCTTTTATAGCCACGGAATTTTACAATGTTCATGTGTACCTTTATTAAGAATGTTACTGCTGCATCTTTATCATTTGGCATAAGTTTTTCTAATTGGTTAATTCTTTCGTTCTGGTTGTCATAGGATTACATATATATATATATACACATATATATACATTCTATGGAATGTGGTCTAACCAGTCTTAAAACTAACCTTCTCTCCCATCAACTGAATGAAAAGCTTAAACACTGTTTTATTTTCATTAGTGAATAATTTGCTCTACTTTTACCTCTAAATGGTGTTATTTTCAAAGAAGACCCAACATATGGTAGTCCATCACAAGAATTATTAAAATTAAACCTTTTTTTAGTGTTCACCAACAAAATAAAAGATTTCCTAAGCACAAGGTTCTTGTACAGAATCTGCTGTTTGTGTAGAATAAATCTTTCTCCATTTCCTACAATCCCCATTAACTCTGTCCAGTACTGACCTGTTATGAAGTGAAATTTTCAAGATAGTCAATCTACTGGAATACCAGAAAAAGCATTTGATTCATTTGTTTTTCACAAATTGAATACAATGTTTGTTTCACAACATTCTTATGTGTCTGGAATAGAAATATGATATTAATGTTTTTAAACAACATGAGGAGGAAGGGCATTTCTTTTTCAATAAATGAATACAGTTTTCAGACAAAGTGTTTTCTTAAATATATGTAAAGTACAAAACAAAAACCCTTCACCATTGTATTTTAATTTTTCAAACTAGAGTGCATCAAAGATGGTCTACAGCTGTTAGCTGTGTGCTAAACAGGAAACCGACTAATAAATGTTAATTTCAGAATCAGCAAATATCCTCTGAAGTTCCAAGTTAAATGCAAGCGATTATTCATTATGGATTTAAACTCTGTATGTAGTAGCTATCTGTAAAGTAGTATTGCATTAGAGCACTAGTCATATAAATGGTGAATGGTGCAAATCATTTGTCAAATATAACTGTATACTTTTTTCAATTGTGCATCTTTAAGAATTGTAGATGATGCCCACTTCAGACTGTTTTATCCATTTGAGTTCTCCAAAAGTTTTCTTGATGAATTTCACATATCTATATTTAAACTGTATATGGCTAAACAGAGATGAAACATAACTGTTCATAATTTATTACAGTCTTTAAAGTTTCATCAACACTAAACAGTTAATGTACAGGCAGGTTTTCCATTAAGGTAACTACACAATTACTTGGTCAACTTGGCACACAAGAATGTTCCCCTTTTTTTCCATTCATTTCTGATTAGGTAATGACACTGTACACATAATGCTTACAGCGAAAAACATCACTAAGCCCCAAGATCTGTTGAAACCAGTACTTAATTTAGCTTAATTTTTTTAAACGAATGTTTGTGTCAAACAGACCGATGTATTGTATATAAATGTGTCATGAGATAAAAACAACACAAACTTTCAGCCATATAATATAAAAAAATGGTCCACATGATCCCTCCATGAGGATGGTGGAGTCCAGCACATTTAGTCCAAAAAGCTTCAGGGTGGAAGGTGGGGAAGTAGTTTGAAGATGTTAGGAATTCCCATGATGAGATCTAGGTCAGGGTCTCTCCTTTGGTCACCTGTATTAAAATACAGTTTAGTTCAATGGTTAGATCACTTGAAACCAGCCAAGCACAAAGTCCATCTGATTCCTATACTTACTCTGGCCTCTATGTATTCAATCCTTCTCTCCAAAGCTGTTAACTTTTCGTTGAGGGTGGCCAGACGAGACCGACAAGACATATCTGTAAGGGTTGTAATGAAATACGACGTTATTAGTATGCTTCAGATGCAGGTGTTTATCTATAAATGGTCCTTTTATCCAGTCCTGTTCATTTACAAAGCATAAACCCCAACAGATGCTATCCCATATGTTTTAGAGGTGTTTATGCTCCCAGAAAGATGAATTAATGGATGGATTATCAGAACTACTCAGTTTGTCATCAAGTTTCATTACTATATGCAACTTTACATCACTAAGCACAATGCAAAATGTAGGACAGGACCTCGAGACTTATTTCGCTGTACTTGTTTCGTTACTAGTAGCATCACATTTATTCTTGATTATGTATTTATCTGGACTAAGTTTAGCACGTAACACGATTTCCAGAACAATACGACCTGTTAATGAAATGTAGCTACAGCTATATCCATCAGCTGTTCGCTCAGTAAACACGGCCAACTAAACCTGTAGAACCTGTTTAGAAAACATTACGCTATTACACTGTCGTACTTACGGAATTTTTAAATGAAATTTACTCTTAACCTTGTGTAGACAATATTTAATCGACTAAATTTGCTTTAAATGTCCTGACAAAACAGGAAGCTGGAGGCTAACAGCTAGCTGGGAGTGGCCATTAACAACATCAACATCACTGCTAGCAGAAGCTACATAGCTAGCTCAACTAGCCAACCTGATCTTTTCAATCAAATTTTACACTCTAGGATCATCACATTCAAGACTTCGTTCGCTGAAAATCTTACCAAACGAGTTAAGAAAGTCAGCAATTTTCTTAATGCTGCTTGTAATCACTTCTATGTACTCTCGATTTGCCCAATCTTGATGAATCTCTCTCTGTACGGGATCTTCCTGGCCAGCCATGTTTAGATGATGAGAGGCAGCAGCTCCGCGCAGCATTAAGCAGGAAGCATAGATCAAACGGCTGTTCCTGACTGCTAATGTCGGCACAGGACAGCGAGAAGAGTTTAAATCAGTGGGGAATGTTTCACAGAACCCAAACAGGGGATTTAGTCAACATCCATCACGCTTATCTGGTATTTTATTAAGTTTTCATGACAGGAAGTAAGGAAATTACATTACTTAAATTTGGCAAGCTGGCCTTAATTGTTAATTTATGCTTTCCCATTTGAGCAAAAACCTCAGAGCAAGGATTTTCTAGTATGACTATAACCACATACCTTCTGTTGTTGTTTATAACGTGCCGGCCACTTGACTAGGTTCATCCAGGCAATCCAACCCATTACTCAAATTTAACATTCAGCAAGATACTGGGAACACTTCATACATTTTTGACCTTATTGAATATACCAGAAATGGTCATGTTCAGCAAACTAGTTTTGAGATTATTTCAGCCTTGTGACCTGGTTTATCAGAATGGTCTCTGCATCTATTTATAAAGCTATTTCAATTATTTCCTCAGTTTGCATTGCTGATTTAACATGAAAATACTATAACTTTATATAGAAACTCCAGTCATTTCAATGTAACTATAGTCACTGACATCTATGTATGACGATGATTTTTATACTAGCTATGCATTTGTGAGTAATGGATACTTGGGCCTTTGCAGCACAGTATAGCATTTGTGTATGAAGATAAAATTGATAACATTTCTTGGAACCTGAATTCATGCATCCTGCTTTTGTGAAACAGTCCTTGAATTTGTTTACTGTTGCTTAGAAAGCACCTAATTATAGATTAACACAAAAAATTTCTATATTTTGTCAAGAAGAGTAAGTCATATAGAACTGAAAGTACTAATTAGCAGTAGCCCTTCTGAAATTAGGACAAAGAGCCTCACCCTGAATTCAATTTCACAATTTGTGCTCCGTGCAGAAGGCAGGTCAGAATTCAAGCAGGACCTTCTTGTGTGTGTTTTTTTTTTTTTTTTTGGTGTATTTCAACTGCATTCATTTTAGCTTATCACTTTTAGAGTTAATTCTTATTTTACTACATAGTTTTTGCTTTGTTGATAAATGTTTGTTTGCTTCTGGTTGCTCTTCAGCCCTTTGCCCAACTTGTTTTTAATGTGTTTTCGATGCCAGAACTCAACTTACGGCACCATCTGGGTGTAAATAATTTCCACATCACTTTTCTGTGCTCATGAATTATCTAGTTATAGATGAGATGCATTCAGTCTTTTGTATAAATTGTATTTTATTCAAATAAAAATACAATGCAAATGTTCTCTTTTCCCCAAACAGACATTGTAGTACAGACAGTGGTAAAGTCGGACATTTACATCTGCATCAGAAACTTCCCACACAAAATGGTTTCCAGGAGTCTCTTCATTAAGTAAATGGGTTCAAGAACCAAGAGTATACCACTGAAAATATCACAATCTTAGAAATATGTTTTGGTTAAGCTGTTAGCTGGGAAAGCTAGATAAAGTAACCCCAAGTGTGCGTCTGCTGATAAAGAGAGGGAGGGGTCACAGCTGATATTTTCAACAACCAGCCGTCAAGTGTCTTAGCCCATTTTACTTAATCCTCTTCAGCAACTCTTTAATGTCTCCCTTGAGATCAATAGTGAGAAAATTTCTGCTGTAGCGCTTGTATGGCTCACCATCAGCACCAATCAGGAACTTCTCAAAATTCCAGGAGACGTCACTCCTGCACACAGGGCTCCAGATGATGAACTTTGGGTCGTTCATGAGAGACACAGCATTGTCACTGGGGACTGGAAGTTTCTCCTTCAAGTAGACAAACAGGGGGTGGGCCTCACTTCCATTCACGTCCACCTTTTCAAGGAGCTGAAAGTTTGGTTCAAAGCCATTCCCTGGACGGACGTACTTCAGGGATCTCAGGATTTCGTCGTTCCTTGCGTTCTCCTGTTATGCATAAATATTAACGTAATTGTAGCTGCATTGAAATGCAGTTCTGTGTGCATTAAAAAGTCAGAGTAATAAAAGCAATTAAACACATAGGTTGCCTCATAATGCAATTAGGCGAAATTTGAAAGCTTGTGGAAGGAATTTTAATTCTAGGATGATCTGAAAAATTCAACTTATAGTGGGCAAGACCTTCAGATAATACATAGAAATCATGGATAATAATGGATGGATTCTTTTTTTGCAATTGACTGCCTTCAGATACTAAAAAAAAACTTTTGAACGGATGGTTTTAAAATGAAGATTGAAATTTATTTACAAAGACGGAAACCTTACCTGATGTCCAAACTGATTACAGGGGACACCCAGGATAACGAGTCCCTCCGCGGAGAAGCGAGAGTGAAGCTCGTTCATCTGCGTGTAGTCCCTGACTGTTGTTCCTCAGAGGGACGCTACATTCTCAATGAGAACAACTTTCCCCTTCAGTGAGGAGAAACTGAAGGATTCACCGGACAGTAGCTTTGCTGTCAGGTCGTAGAACTTCTTAATATTCCCGGCCATTTTCTGCGACTTCCTAAAAGTTGGATCGGGACTAAGTGAACTTTCCTGTCTCCTGTCAACAAGTCATAGTCGACTCCACCCCTCGCTGTCAGAGAGGCGGGGCTGCTATGTGAAGACGGTTCTCCACAGGGGGCCTTGAATCAAATAGGCTATTAACGTCACCTGGAAGTTTGATTCCACATCTGGAAATACCAAACTAATACACTAAAGTTTTTTTCAATAGCATGCCTGATTGAAAACGAATTAAAATGTGTTTAAAAAAATGTAAAGAACCACAAAGATAAATACCGTCACAAAACAAATGCAATATTTTTTTTTCTTCAAAGTACCAGTTCCATTTGAACTAACTTTCAAAGTATTGACATGTACACCACATTCCCAGAAATCCATTTGTGACATTCCAACCTTATATTCCACAGTAAACTGTCAGTGGTATTGCAATAAAGTGGAAGCAATAGTAACTTAGACAGGAAGTGAAAGGCCATGTAAAATCTCTCAAACTAGTTTGATTAGAGTCAAACCTGATGTCCAGACAAACATCAGTTTTAATTATTTTATTGATTTTCTTAGGGAACACTTTGGTGTAACCTGCTTGTGTGTTATATGACTAAAGGTGCCATATAGCTTTGGGCTGAAAACATATAACACGTTGTGGATTAACAATGGGATTTTACTCATGCTCATACAAGTGTGAAGATGCAACAGATCTCAGCACTTCAAACCCAACATTTTCAGGTAAGAAATAGCCTAAACAATCTTTTTAAAAATGAACAAAGAGCAATTATACATGTGCATGTATAAATGCAATCAGATATCTTTGAATACATGCTTTTTTCCAGTAGCTGTCATATTTGATAATGAACTGTGGATGCTTCGGGCACCTTCAAATTTCCAAGCTGAAGGTCCCATTTTAAGAAATTTTGTTTTCCAAACTTGGACCTCATAAAATCCAAGTACAAATTGGACACTCTATTACTCTACAATCTACTTTTTAACATAATCTCTTTTTTTCCATTTTAATTAGCAGTAGATAAATCAGTGTCTGACGTTTATTATTAATAGAAATTATTTGCGCAAGATATATGTTCTCATTAGAAGGTGCCATAAAATTAAAATTGTCATATATGGAACAATGACATATTATTTTTAAAATCAAATGTATGGTAAATCAGCAGGAATGATAGTTTTTTTTTTCAGCCGTAGTAAACGCAAACAGGAAGTTATCGAGAAGAGAAGAATTTGAAGAAACTGTTCACAATCTACCCAACAACACTCCCCCAACCCGCAGCACCGACTGGCGTTTCCTTTTCAAGATTAGAAACTGTCGCCTCCTTAACCCCGTTTTGTCGGCATTAATGGTACTTTCCAGGAAGTCCCGTGCAAATGTGTAATCCAGTGTTTTCTCGGGTCTTTGTGAACAAATGTACGTCGTGTAAACGACGTGTTTGCTTTTTGTAAAACAACCAAACACTTTGTGACACATGGCGGCTTCTCGAAAGAAATAACAAATAGTTTAGAGTTCGGCAGCGGCTGAATAGCAGAACCTGCTGTTCGGAGTTATCATGCCAGACTGCTTCTGTCTGTGTGCGGTCCTACTGGGTCTCCTCATTTTAACATTAGCAGGTTGTATATTTTATTCAGGAGTTTTAGCGGATATCACTGTGAAAACTTGCTGCCCTGCCTTTAATAAGCTAACTTTCGCCTATAAATTCAAAGAAGGCGCATATAAAGACAGCGGGGAACTTTTAAAGGAGGCTCGCTGTATTGGACTTGGACTCCCATGTCTTGGAGTGTTTTATGAAGACCCTACAAAGGTAAACATTATTTTTCAAAATTCTTTTCAAAAAGATGCTGAATAAATGCACCATATATATATTTTTTATATAGATAATGTTGTCCAATGAAGTGTAAGGGGAGGACATAGATAAGAACATAATTAGTTCACGACTTGGCCACTAGATGGCGATAATGCCATTCTTTACAAAAATAATCTCTCGACTTCTTTAATGATTTAAATATTGTGCTATCCTGTAGTTCTTTTCTTATTTCTTCTCAAATTTGATATATGATCCGAAAAATAACAAAAAATATTTGTAAGACTTAATTAATTCTCATTCATAATTTACTTGTCAAAACTTGATACGAAGTTGTGGATTTAATATAGCAATTGATAATGTGAAAATATTTTGAAATGGTGTACATGTTTGAAACATAATGCTGAGGTTTTTAAAAATGGGGAATTTAAGTAACTCATATTTTATGGTTTACATATGCTTTTCTTAATTCATTTTGGATCTGATTGTCACAGGTAAAGCTTTATTGTTGTCTATGATCATGTATTATTTTATGTTTTAATATTTTTTGCAAAATTATCTGAGTAGAAAAACAAAACTGGAGCATGTTATAAGGCTGAAATTTTGTTTTTCTGTTCTATCATTGTACATATTGTGTGGCTGTAGTGTATCTTATGTATTTAGCTGTCATAAAATGTCTGAAATTTCATAATTAAATCACTGTATTTCATTTGAACAAAAACTGCAGACTATTTTACTGGATGATTCTTTCAGCAGTAACAGCATGGAGTGAGGCTGATGTGAGATGCACAGGGTACATATAAGTGGCTAATGTTATGTGGCATATATTCTACCAATGTTGTTTAGTTTTGCATGTATTTCTCAATGAATAAAGCAACCTTTCAGGTTTGTTTTGCTGAAAATATACCCTGGCAACAAGATGGCACACTAATCATATTAACCCTGGGTTTTTGCAGTAACATTCTGACAGGTCATTTGAATACAGCATCATTATTTCTCTAAAGGAACTAAACTAGAATCATGCTTCAGGAAGTGTGTGTCAAAAATGGGAGCTATTTCATAAAATTAACAAGCAGCCAAGAGGACAAAGAATATTCCTAAATATTTTGATTCCAAGAAGATTATATGTCCAACTTCAAATACTTTTAATTTTTGTAAAAATAAGATGCCTATTTTATTTTTTAAATCCAAGTTAATTTTCTTGGATATGGCTAAGAAATGGAGTACATAATGTTAAAATAATCCCATTAGATTTGACTTCCTGATGATCATCTGATGACATGTTGCTCTTTATGTAAACTTATCTTTCACAAAGTTTGAGTTTCAAGGTTAGGAGAAAATAATTGAGTTTTTATGCTTTATTGGTTTGGAATACTGTGGTACTGATCCTCATGTTTTAAAGGGAGTCCAATATTAGAGGTGATCATTTGCACAGCTGTTAATCATCCTTCCATATTGAGACTCTACAAGAATGCAAGCTGTGTGAACTGTCACTACAGATGATTAGTCTATTAGCACCATGATGATGTTCTTAGAATAGTAAAATATTTATGTAGAAATATTTATAAATATGTCATTTCTGGACCATAGTTCTTATGAACAAAAAAAGAAAAGACTGCAAACAATAAAGAAAGGCGATATACAAAACGGGATTTCTAAATGGTGCACTGTATGTAACACCATGAAGTTTTATTTATTTATGGATGAATTTGTGACATCAGTGAAGAGACATGAAAAAAAAAAAATCTAACAATACCAGAGGAAAGCAATGGATAGATCATACTGGAATATTTGCTATTCTTTTTTAAGTGCTTAATGCCAGCATTTGTAGATTCTGGGAGATAGATTGAGTGAATAAGAAGAGATGACAAGTGGAAAAGCTGCAGATTGACAAATGTGGTTGCCCATCTTCAGGGACCAATGTTCATGTCACATTGTGATGAAAGCTGTGAGGATGGCAGCGAAACGAGGGGCTGCTCAGGAAATGCTTGGCAGTCTTTGGGTCGTCTGATGAAATCTCTTCTATACTTGTTCCTCCAGGAAGTTATTTTAAAACATTTAAAACCTTAGCTCTAAAGAATCTGAGTGCATAAGAAACGCTTTGTATGCTTGTAAAGAGGCTTTAAGCAGTTTTTTTCTGTTTTTTTATTGCCTCAGCAATGGCTGTTCTGCTTCTACGCAACTGAGACCAAAGGCGACATGATTCCTCGGGTAACATTTTAACATTTTTCTTCATACCAGCCATCAATGGCTTGCATGAAGAACGAGCCATTGAAGAAACTTCATAAGGCATCAAACTGGTCTCAAAATAAGAGCAGCTCGAGAAGCAAAACAAAGACTGAAATGTTGTGAGTGTCAGGTGTACAGAGATTGTTTACTGCACTTGGTACCATTAACAAGTTTTTCTGTTAATCAAAGTTATTTCTTAGAAAGTTTGGTTGGGCTGGAAAATGTGTAATAGGACCGAGTTACAAAATGCCACCACATTTATTAAATAACTTTCCAGTTTTGCTTCTCTTATTGTAACAGAGGAAAGTCCTGCTGGTCCCTGAAGTATTCATTTGGAGTGTTTCCCTTTTTCTTTTTTTTATGCACACCACTCTCTTTTAAAGTAGGAAAAGGAACATGAACTGTTTTTCTGCCAATTTCCTCTATTAGTGCTAAAATAAATAATACTTCTACAACTTAGAAGTGTTGACGGCAGCTAAATATCTTTAGTATGTTTTGTCTAATTTGTCTCAAACTCTTGCTTTTCCTAAAATCTTTCTTTAACATTCAGTTTGTACATTAAGTTTTTGTCTGTAAAATAATATTCTTTGAATATTTTATTGAAACTTAGTGTTTCTTTTGTATGTCTGTTCAAATGACCAAGGATAGATTACAGTGGTGTTATTTTTCGCCATTAGTCATGTCAGGTGTCACATTGGACCTTTACAGAAGTAGGTAGTAACTCATATAAAATGTGTGGGTAAAAAACTAAGAATTGTGCAGTTTTTGATGTTTATGATCAGCTTGTAGACTGTTCTGATATGACACATAGCTCTGTTGCCACCAGCTATATTGAAATTATATCATATGTAATTTTAAGGTAATAGGCTCAAATAATGGAGATTATATTATTACAGATACACTTTGAATGAAGCAATTAGAATTGCCTTTGCAAAATAGATTTGCATAGCAAATAGGAAATCATTGAATCGCAGCTAATATCTTCTTAAGAGTTTAAAAATGCAATGAAATTCCAACATTATGGCTCTTTGCCGGAGTTTATCTTGGACAGTTTTATGAGGAAATACCAAACATATTTAAGCTTGAATTTAATGCTTTAATTCTCTGTTTCAAATTTTATGTGTATCATGTTGGATTCTAATTTGTAGATCTACCACTCTTAATAAATTAGAAGTCATGCAAAAGGAACATTTCTTTGCATATATGTAAAAGTAAATACACTGTATAGAAAATAAAAAATGAACATGCCAAGGTTTTTCTCAGCAAATATGTCTTATGGGGGTGAGATAAAGCTTATGCCATATTTAATGACCCAACTAATAAACAAAGAAATAGAAATTCACAAAAAAGCCCACAAATTAAGTATATGTGTAATAAAATGGAATGACAGAGAAACTGATTAATCCTCCGAAGACCAGAAACACACAAAGTGTATTTATTTGGATTTTTATGGCTGGAAAATTGTTTGAAAGTATTGTGCATGGAGTAACCTTCCCAGCCAGCTTCAGATTGCGATAGATAGCTGCGGACACTCCTGTTTATTGCTTACGAAAGCGATTAAGAACTGCTCGAATTACTTGAATCCAATTAAAAATCTTTGAAAATCTTTGAAAATCATTGGCTATCAGAGAGCATAGAATAAGCCCGTAAGACCTACTTGAACCAAAGACAGTTTGTGAGAAGGAATGACTCAAAATCATACCTGAGTAATTTATGTGATTTGTTTCTCCATGAATGAGACATTGACATCGCTAAAATTGTTATTCCCACAAAAGGTTTTTTCTTCAAAGTAATTAAAAAATTTCAATAAATGTATTTTATACCTATTTCTTCTGTCATTGCACTTTACTACACATAATGTGTGGGCTAAATTGTTTAAATTTCTTCCTATGTTTAGATCACTTGGGGTATTATCAACATTGGAATGTGACTCATTCAGACAGAACCTTTCAAATTAACATCATTCATGTTGTAATGGTCAGACAGAAACACAATGAAACCCTGAAAATCATCAAGTCCAAGGCTATTTATGGTTGAGGTTGACCTTTTCTGTTAAGAGTAGGGGGAATAAAAACATTTCACAGTGAAATAAAAAAGCCATGAGACAACTAGAACCTGGGCTATATTCACTCAGCAAATTGTTTGTCAAATATGTGAACATTTTTTCATTGCTAACTGTTAGTGCAAAATTGATGACACTGCCAAAACTTCCCATAGCAACCTGATGGAATGTAACCAGAGTTTAGAGATGAGCTCTTCCCAGCTCTGCTTCAAAACGCCTTTGTTATGCTCTTCCTCTTTTCTTTTTTTCCCCCTTTTCCCAAGCTTGCAATTAGAGCAGTGGGTCCTGTTTCCTCTGCACGGTCACAGCCAAGTCCTGATCTAAGTTGGAATAATTGTCATAATGATCTCGGCTCATTAGTGTCTGAGCCTCGGGATGCCATTCAGTGGCCGCACTGCCAGCCCTGGAGAGAGTACCCTCACACAGGAGCACTGGTATTTTGTGCCTAAGGAGGCAGATGCTGTTTGCTGATATTTGCTGCAGGAAGCTCTTGTTAAAAGTGTAGCTGAAAGAGGATACGTATATGTGCGTCCCTCCTGCTCAGTTCTCCCACTTTTACCTTGTTTAATCAATTCCTTTGGAAAAACAAAAATACCTCGATGAGACCTTGATTTGGTTCTAAAATGGTTACCATGGATACAGGGCTTGCTTCCCATTCTGGGCTCCACTCACTGCAGCTTCTCCAATCAGCCTCTTCACAGCTTCAAAGCCGGAAGGGGATTCTGGGATCCAGTGTGTGCACTTCAACTCAACCTTTAAGCCTCGAAGTTTGAATCCAGGTGTTCGAGGAAACCATTTGTCCAAGGGGACAACATGAAGCACAAATATTCTACACAATAAATGCTTTCTTTCACAATGTGTACGTCAATGAAGTAATCTTATATTGGCTGATTTTATTAAAGATGGAAGCTCTAAAGTAACATATCTAGCGAAACTATTCATACTCCGTTGACATATGTAATTGGCCAGTTTCATGCTATGAAGCTTACCGTGCTGTAAACAGTTATCCCCCTCTGCAAAGAGAGTAGTGCTAAGCCAAACAAGATGGCTGTTAATATTAATTGACTATTTGGAAGTGTGGCCAACATAGACTGAATGACTTTGTTCACTTCCTTGTCTGGCATTTCCAAACTACAGACAGAAAGTTTGTCATTGTTCTCAACACCTCCTGTATTCTCATTGGCACATTTAAAATTCAACTGAACAATCAAATTCAATGGAAGAAATCCCAGACATCAGAGATGAAAGATTCTCATCTCTCATCATCATCTCTCATCATCCTATGAAATTCTAAAAATGAAAGAAAAAAAGACGATAGACGATAGCCTCACATTTAAAATGTAAAAAGTGCCTTCACTGACAGATAATGCACTTTGTTCACTATTTTGAGGCATTAGTAATTAGTGCAATTGGAGGTGATCTTTACACAGCTGTTAATCATCCCTCCATATTGAGACTACAAGAATGCAAGCTGTGTGAACTGCTACTACAGATGCACTGTCTATTTATGAGCATCATGATGACACCTCTTAGAACAGTAAAATATTTATAAAGAAAGGTATTGCATGTCATTTCTGGTCTACAGTTGTTGTGACCAAAAAAAGAAAAGACTGCAAACAATAAAGCAAGGTGATATACAAAAAGAGATTTCTAAATGGTGCACTGTATGTAACACCATGAAGTTTTATTTATTCATGGAGGAATTTGTGACATCACTGAACAGACATAAAAAAAAAATAAATCTAGCAATACCAGAGGAAAGCAATGGATAGATCATACTGGAATATTTGCTATTCTTTTTCAGTGCTTCATGCCAGCGTTTGTAGATTCTGGGAGATAGATTGAGAGAATAAGTAGAGATGACAAGTGGAAAAGCTGCAGATTGACAAATGTGGTTGCCCATCTTCAGGGACCAATGTTCATGTCACATCGTGATGAAAGCTGTGAGGATGGCAGCGAAACGAGGGGCTGCTCAGGAAATGCTTGGCAGTCTTTGGGTCGACTGATGAAATCTCTTCTATACTTGTTCCTCCAGGAAGTTATTTTAAAACATTTAAGACCTTAGCTCTAAAGAATCTGAGTGCATAAGAAACACTGTATGCTTGTAAAGAGACTTTAAGCAGTTTTTTTTCTGTTTTTTATTGCCTCAGCAATGGCTGTTCTGCTTCTACGCAACTGAGACCAAAGGCAACATGATTCCTCGGGTTACATTTTAACATTTTTCTTCATACCAGCCATCAATGACTTGCATGAAGAACGAGCCATTGAAGAAACTTCATAAGGCATCAAACTGGTGTCAAAATAAGAACCGCTCGAAAAGCTAAACAAAGACTGAAATGTTGTGAGTGTCAGGTGTACAGAGATTGTTTACTGCACTTGGTACCATTAATCAAAGTTATTTCTGAAATAGTTTGGCTGGGCTGGAAAATGTGTAATTGGACCAAGTTGCATAATTTTGCTTCTCTTATTGCAGTAACAAAAAGTCCTGCTGGTCCCTGAAGTATTCATTTGGGGTGTTTCCCTTTTTCTTTTTTTATACACACCACTCTCTTTTAAAGTAGGAAAAGGAACATGAACTGTTTTTCTGCCAATTTCCTCTATTAGTGCTAAAATAAATAATACTTCTACAACTTAGAAGTGTTGATGGCAGCTAAATATCTTTAATATGTTTTGTCTAATTTGTCTCAAACTCTTGCTTTTCCTAAAATCTTTCTTTAACATTAAGTTTGAACATTAAGTTTTTGTCTGTAAAATAAGATTCTTTGGATATTTGATTGAAACTTAGTGTTTTTATTGTATGTCTGTTCAAATGACCAAAGATAGATTACAGTGGTGTTATTTTTCACCATTAGTCATGTCAGGTGTCACATTGGACCTTTACAGAAGTAGGTAGTAACTCGTATAAAATGTGTGGGTAAAAAACTAAGTACAGTTTTTGATGAAACAGCTTGTAGACTGTTCTATCCCAGCAATGACATGAAGAAGTTATTTCCCTTCATAGTGGTGAATTTTTAACCACTCTTTATTATATTGTATCAGTCTACTGTGGGCTTCACAGATATTTATTCCTGCAAAACTGTCTTAATGTCTTGCAGTAGCATTGAGTTGAAGTCTGGACTTTATGTTTAACTCCTTTATTCATTTCTTTTTCAGTTATAATGTTATTGCTTTTGATTTCAATATCTTTGTCCCAGGGCATCCATATTTTTGGATATTTTTGATATAGTACTCCTCACTACACTCTTCTTTATGGCTAGACTTGGCTTATTCAGAGATTCCTAATTGATGTTATTAACAACAGTAATATTGTTTTCAATCTCTTTCTCCATAGATATGTACTCCACTTTGCCGCTATGCGGTTGGCTGTATTCTGAGCGAGGGAGAAAACAAAGTTGATGAGGAACTTCTGAAACAATGCAAGTCATCAGGGTTTAGTGTCTTCTCCTTCCCCCAAGTCACCCACGTGATTTCTACCTCATTCCGTCACACAGCGCTTTTTTCTACGTACCTCAGAGTGAGAAGAGTCTATCCACAGCTTGAGCGCTACATCAAGGTATGCAGTTTAGATGTCTACAATAATTTTCATAATTTTATCAGGGTTTATACGAAAAGTAATGTTCAAATGGAAAAAAAAACCACATTTAATTTGTCTGTTTAATTTTTCCAGAACTAAGGTAAGTAGTATCATGAACCATTGTTTGAATCTACTGAAAATATATTAAAACATGAAACAACATTTCAGAAAATGCAATTTAAATTTTTTTTTTTGCTAACAACAAAAACCACAACTAGAGTTCAGGAAGTACATTTCACAAAACCAGCGTTTTGTCTCGAAAAGTTAAGTTGTCAGAACAAGTCAAGTGCAGTAACTCTTGAGTCTAGAAAAGCCAGGATGATACCAGAGGGACTTAAATATTGCACTATAAGTTCATGGTTTTATTAAAAAAAAACATCTATAGGAAAATTCTTCAGTGTTACATGAACATTGTTGGGTGTTGCACCAGAACAATAATCTGAAGAATACAACTAAAGTGGTTTGGAGTGGATATTGCAGGCTAATGTTATACTTCCAGCATGTATTTATCTGTTTATTGCTCTAAATAGTGAAATTACAAGGAATGTTACAAACTGGATATTCATTTAAGAAATATGTTTTGATTAGAACTTGACATTTGCCTATTGTAAACAGACAAAAAATTAAATGTGACAAAACATGAACAATTTGAGTCAGCTTTATTTGTAAGGTTAGTAAACAAAGAAGGAATTTGACTTTTATTCTCAATGAAGACATTTTAATAAATATAAATGCAACAAAAGGGAAAAGAAGATGATTTCCTTTGTAAATATGTGCACATACACTGTTTTTTCACATAATTGTAAACTTTAACAATTGAACAGCACTCTTTTCTACGTACTTCAGAGAAAAAACTGTTTGTAAACTTTAACTGTACGAGACAGTACAAAAGAACAAGAAGAAGGAAGTAATCTAAGTGGCTTAATTTGGTTAAAAACAACCAGTTTACAGAAGGTTTTAAAAAGTAAAATTTTCAAAGTATTCTTTTCTTGTATCAGTCTTTACAAGATTGATTTTAAATGCCATAATAATTTCCTTTTGCAAATGTTAAAATAGAGAAACTGCATGTTCTGTCTTTGTGGTTATTTATAAAAGAAAAGGAACGATTTTCTGGAATGAATCACTGAAACCCTGAGCAATCCTTGCTTCTTCCAATGCAAGTAAATAATCAATATTTAACCTTATACCCTCTCATGCATGAGTAAGTCTTTCAGTTTTTGTCTTTTTTCTGTTGAGAGTTTTGGCACATAAAAACTTTTCATTACTCATTCTGTTTTGCAACATCGTGTGGAGGTTTGGAGGCTTGTGTTAGGAAGACATAGCAGATAAAGAGATGGCGATGTGGTATGATCCTGAACAAATGAGGGAAAAGAGGAAAACAGTAGGTGTGTTCACTTAGAATGATGTGTCTAAGTGCTACCAAAGGGATATTGAGAAAGTGTCACTGAGATGAGCCGAGGACTCAGTGAATATGGTGAAATAGTGAAGTGTGCTATAACAGGTGGCATTGCCGTAGGCAGTCTCAGGCGCTGTATGGCTGCTGAAATTATTGCATGACCCGTTTGTCGCTGGTTCTGCCATCTGCTTGGAAGCTGTTTTGACCTGGCTTTTCTCCAGTGGCACTTAGCCTGTCTGAAAGGTCAGTTTTTAGCTAGCCCAATATAACCTAAAGCTCTATTACATTTCACTTTTTTTCCCTTTAAGTATTTAAAAACTCGCTTATTTCACGGTTTTTACTTTTTTTTTTTTTTAAGTTTTCTACGCTTGTTAAGAAAGTTAAAACAGATTAAAATAAAAAGTAGGATCTGGTAAGAAAAATTAAGCGATATTGCCCAGCTCTAATATACATATATATATTAATATACTTAGCAAGGTTGCTGTGGTCATCAAGATGTCTGTCAGATATCCACCAAATGAACACAAACTTTCAAAATTGTTGTTTTAAAACATTTTCAATAGCTTTAAATTATTAAGCAGTTATGCTCAGATGTTCATGCATGCTATAATTTTCTCACATATTTCCTGTTGCATAATAGTTTGGGCTCAAACATTGCTATGTAAACACTAGATGTATTTCATCTTTGCACAATTCAGCTCTGAAAACCATGAACAAAAAAAGCCCATTTATTTGCCATCACTGTTTAATTTGAAAAAGATAAATTTTATTTAACATTGAGAATTCCACATATCTGTGTTAATATAAATTCTATGGAAATATACATTTTCTCTAAAGCAAATCATTTGCATTCTGTTTTGAAATTATATCAAACTGCACTATTTCTATTCAAATAAAATTGTATTTTATTTATTTTTTTCTTTCTCCTTTTAATGATGTTCTCTTTGTTCTCAAAAATTGGATTTCACAAACTGGCAGCAGCAATTTGCAACAAGAACTTTACTTAACTCAGTTGTGATGCCATTATCAACTTCCAAGGCAAATTGAATAGTTTATGTTCAAACAAGGGACACTGCATTCAACATTATACATTTTAGAAGTTTTTGGGATGACTTGTAAAAAAAAAATCTGCATATTAAAATTTTATTTGGCTAAAAATCTTTAATAAATTCAGTTTTTCAAATGATAAATGCTTAATATTTACAAGATTTAGAGGAAATATTAAAGCTATGGATTTCTAAAAGAAGCAGATTAATGAGAAAAGTTCTCTGTAGTTTTTAAAAAAGTTGTTTTTTTCTATGTATAAATATTCTGTTGATGGCTCAACATATCCCAAATGAGGAGACCTTTTCAATAAGCTCATTAGCATTTAGCCTGCCTAGCTTGTCATGGCAAAATGATTTCCGTCTGTTACACTTTGAATGGCTGCCCCGTGGCCAGGCCTGATATTTGCCTTGTCAGGCCATCGATTGGCCCCAATGTTTTTTCTTCTGTGCCTTGGCTCTTTAGTCTTGGGTGAGACCACAGAAGCATTGGCATCTTGAGATTTTATTTTTTAGCATATTGGCCAGGCCTGCAAATGGAGATGGATAGTCAAGAGGGAGGATAATATTGCTGACATTCACAGAGATCTAAAGTTTGTGAAAGGCAGATGATGGAACATTTGTTTGCTTGGGGCCACTCAAGTTTCTGGCCAGTGCAGAGGTCCTGTGCTGAATGTGAAGCAAGGTTTTCTTTGCTCAGTGGAATTGTTTTTAGAAACTGCCCCTGATTAAACTCTGCATGAAGTCTTCTGTTGCCTAAGAGAGGGATTCAAGGGTTCGTCTTTGGACTCGCTATGCTTGCTGTCAGATTTCGTTGTCTTGTTATTTAAATGCGTGAGATGGATGCGAAGAAGAGCAGAGATGCAGGTCCACAGGGTTTGTTAAACATGCCGACTTTTAGCTAACTGTGACGTCCATTCGGAAAGGTCAGAAAAGGTTGTTGAGTTTACATACTTGAAAATGTCACGAAGGCAGCTCTCTGCTGGAAAATGTGGAAGGGTAGCAAAATTGTGTAGAACGGTTGCTTACTTGATGGGAAAGTTACACATTTACATGTTTGAGGTCTTAAGATTTTTAAACTCCCCTCTGTATTTAATATTATGAGTTTCACTCTGAACTCTTACACTACCAATCCTGTCTTCCTAACAGAAAGCTGCTGTTATTCCTTCTATTTTCTTTTATTCTCCCATTTCTGCTGCATTGCAGTACTGAACTAACTAAAATGTGGACATCCTATATATCAGAAAATGTGAAATGAATTTGACCAATAACTATGAGGTTGTTTGAGAACTTTTATAGAACAGTGAAAGTTTAATTCCCTGGCAGAGAATTGATGCTTAAATAGACAATGATGCCTGCAAGAATAAAACTATCCTGACACAGTAGAACGTTGTGATTCTCACACTCTTGATCTCAATATACATGCACTATTCATAGGTAAAGGACATAAAAGTCGAGGCACTTTAAAGAGTCAATGAGAGCTTGATAGTCTGCAAAATCTTAATTTTTTGAAATTGAGACAAATGTAATGTGTTTTATTTTTAAAATACTCATAAAGCTGTCAAAATGAAAAACAGTATTATAGTCTCTTACGTTTCCCCTTCCTTTTTGCTTTTAGCAGTTTGTTCAGCTCTACTTTTTCTTTATCTGTGCCCACAAACACCCACACCACATATTTTGTTCTTACTCTATAAAAGCCCCAAACTAAAATCTTATTGAACACATTTGAAACACATTTTTTTTCTCAAAAAAGAAAATTGTTGTTTGATACACTACCATAAATTTGGATGTTTTGGTGTTTTAACCATCTTTCTTTCCTCTTTCTCATGTGGTCTTTACATTTATCAAACATCAATTTCTTCCTTGTTCTCTTTTCTCTCATTCTCAGTCTTCCCTTTTTGCAGCACAGTATCTTTGGTTATTTTAACTTGCTTGTTTCTGGACTGGCAGGACATTGGAGTACTTAGAGGAAACCTGTTCAAGCACAGGGACTATATTCAAACTGAAAACAGAAAAGCGCTGCTCAGAATTTGAACCAGCGACATTTTTCTTATGAAGCAACTGTACTGAAGAGGGCTTCACTGTGCAGATTGCTTAAGTAATAAGAATATATGGACTATTTTTTGCATATGTTTATACTCGTATTCAAGCTAAACTCAAAACTCTAAAAATAATTGCTTAACTAATGTTTGTAAAAATGTTTAACTGCCTCGTCAATTTAAGGTATGTGACATTTAAGTGCTGGTGGTGAAATGGGAATATGAACTGGGGAGAACTGCAAAACAGAGGCAGTGCCATAAAGACAATAACAATTTGACACAATTTCTGTGAATCAGACTCCCTCCCTGTGTATGGATTTATTTTTAACCAATTATTCACATTAACTTCAATTCAATGGGCACCTTTTGATCAAGTGTGTTGCATCACGACCCTGCAAGCCAACTCTTCCCTCAGGAGCTTCTGCAGAGTTTGCCTGTTAAATGTTCAAACATGACTTTCATCCAACAGCAGCTGGGAATCTACTGTTGATGTTAAATGTC